CGGCTTGTGCCCGTCGGCTGGTTCTTCCAGTCATCACGCGGACGTTTTTGGGCGTTGGCGATGGTGTGGAAACGAGATGTCCTTCAGCTCCTTAACTTTAGTCCCTCATCTGCAATGCTCAAATGGAGACGAGGAACATTTTCTCGTCCCTGGGAAAACCAAATATCAGGGAATGGCCTAGCTTTGCAACACAACAGATTTCGGCAGTGGGGGAATGCAGCCTTAACAAACAAAGTAGCTAATATCTTGGGATATACAGGATTTATAAAAAATAGCTACCATATTATCAGTTTTTTTTTGCAGTTACTGGCTTAAAAAAAACTTAGCCCAACCTACAATCTAAAAACTTGAAAGCAAAACATTTAAGAAATACCTCATCTCATCCCCCATTTGCTCAAGAGATCACTTTCATTAAAGAAGTGCCAAGCCGCCAAACACTCGTCTCCTAGCATAACTTTCTAGATCGAGTGAAGACTTCAGCAGTAATTTCCATCACAAACCCATGCTGCATCAGAGTAATATCTGGAAATGGCTGAATATAGCTGAAGGTGAATAAGTGAAAGACCTAGGCCTCAGTTCACAACTGCTTGAGACAGCCAAAGGAATCTGATGGAAGCAAAAAGTATTAATGAGTGGAGCCAAGTAGGACAACGTCACATTTTACACTCATGGACGAAATGCAGCGCTTGGAACCTTTCCATGTAACGGCGATACAAGGACCCAGCCACTCAAAAAAAAACAAATTCCTCGGGGTTGGGTGCAGCTGCAAGCCCAAGAAATTCGAGAATTCTAGCGTTTGTCCAAGAAATTCAAGAATTCTAGCGTTTGTCCTATCATAACTCTCTTTCGTATGAACTTACGCCTGCCCTCTTAAATAAACGATCAAATCATATATTGCACACACTACGCGAAAATAGGCCTAGCCTATCCACAAACAAAACCAAATCAGATAATAAAAACCCAAGCCTAGACAAAGACTCTCAGCTAAACCAGAGACTCATCAATGGGGAAAAAAAGACACACAGCAACGCTGACCCTCTCCGTTTCCCTTCCCACCAAACAAATCCGGCACAAGCCCACCTCCGCGAATCGCAAAAGAGACAAAGCACCCCAGCCACCATGTCTCACTCTGACATCCATCTCGCCATGGGCGGCGCCATACTTGCAGGGTTGCCCGATCGCTCTCTTGATTATTTCAAATTTCATACACTTTCGAATCGAATGGAATAAGATCTTGTTCGTGAATGGGAGAAGAAATAGGACGATCGCAGAAGGTTCGTCCCTCCTTCGCTAGTCTCATTTTTTGGGGGCTGCCGAACGTGAGTTTGAATCCTCCGACAATCCTCAATCCTCTGATTATCAAGGGTAATTATGTGGTCGAGGGCTTTTCAAAGAATTTTATTTTTGGAGCTGGAATTTTTTTTTCCCTCATTTCGTCATTCATAATGTCCCTTATACATATGGGACATCAGAAGAAGAAATCGCATGAACACAATAACGTATTCATTTTAGAAATTTCCTTGCCGCATCTACTTCTCACTTCCAGCAACAACAAAAAAAATAAGTTTCCTAGAATATCAGACAATGACAATGGGAACATAGAGGTCGGCAGGGAGAAGGATGGAGATCTCGTGCGCGCGGTGTGCGCATGCGCGCCTTAACCGCCAATAATCTCCCGACCTCCAAAAGCTTACCCGGCGAACACAGACACCTCCAGGAAGGCTCTAAGCGTGAGTCGGTTGAAGAATTGCACCGTTCCGGCTTTGGTGATGGCTTCGGTGAGTTTCCCGCCGCGACTTCCTTCGCTTTCATCGATTTCAGCCTCTGGGGGAATCGGCGGTGACTCCCCGCCCACGGTTCGAATCCTAGGATCGTCCGCAAGGGGGGGGGAGTGGGAATTCCTCCGGGGAGTTTCTCATTGGAGTCTACTATCTATTTTTCATCAGTTTTTTATTTTTCATCAGTTTTCTATTTTTCATCAGTTATCTATTTTTCATCAGTTTTCTATTTTTCATCAGTTTTCTTATTTTTATCTGGAAACGGCCAAGATTTCATCGGAATGTGTATTGTGCAATAGTGTTTAGCATATTTTTTTTCCCGCCCCTTGTTAGCTTCCAGTGCAAGCAAATGTGACCGACGCCGACTCTAACCACGTTCTAGATGCTGTAGAAACCCGATTCTTTGTCCACAAGTAGCGGTTGGGATTCTGAATTTTAAAAAAATTTCCAAATTTTTTTTTTCATGGATGTTTCAAAAGTCCTAACTCAATGGGGATGTCGCGTTTGCGTCTGGAGTGTCCGGGTGTTCGTAGTATGGAGTTACCTAACTCCACCTGCTCCTGGAGTGTGAGGTTGTTAGCGGAAAATCTCGAATAGCCAGCAAAAGAGACCAAATGCATATAACTACGATTTCGCCACGAGTAAGGAATTTTTTAAACTCCCTGTGCATTCTCGGAAGGCCCATTTTTTGGGAGGATGGAGCGATTTTTCAATTTCGTTCCAATGAAACGTAAACATGTAAAAAAAAAAAAAAAACTGGAATTTCGGGAGTCGGCAGATTTTTGGGGAAACTGACTCCAGCCAAAAAAAAAGAAAACATGTTCAGGTGCCCTCGGGGCACCCTTTCGCGGTAGATCACCCGGAGGATAATAATTTTTTTGCAGGTCTGTTTATTCTTCGCAACAGCAAACGGAAGCTGAGAAATTTCGCGAATGTTTTCGTCGTGCGGGAATCAGGGGAAACCATGGGAAATGGCAAAATGTAACTATTTTTTTTTCTCTTGAGGAAAACTGTTTCGGAGGTTTCACATGAAAGGCATCGCATGAAAATTCTCGAGAGGAAATTTTGGGAGGAAACCCAAAAAAAAAAGTTCAATTCACGCCGTGTAACCTTGGGCCGTCCGTGAAGATATTAAATTAATGTGGGAACCCGATCGAAACCGCGCCCAGAGGAATTGCGGCGGCACGGTCGCCGGAAAGCGCGGAATAAATCGCGGCTAGAAAAAGGACGCAGCTCGAAACCGTCGAAATGCGCGAGCACGGATCACGCGACACGCACAAAAAAAAAATCGAAAGTGACAGGGGGAGAATGCTTGGACTAAAAAAAAAAATACTAATAAAATAATAATAATAATAATAAATAAAAATAAATAAGAATTTCAATTCCAGATGGAGCGAACCGCGGCGTGGATCGCGATCTGGCTCTCCCTCGCCTCCACGCACTGCCTGGGCCTCACGCCCGCGAACTGCCGAGAGGTGCAAGAGGTGGAGGGTCGCTCGGCGGACAACTCTCGGTTAAGTCGGTTAAGCTTGGAGGTTAGAATTTACTCCTCCATCTTGGAAAGACAAAATTTATTTCGCAGCTAAATCAGGCAAGATCATGAGTTTTGCTCTAGCTATCATGAAGCCAAGGAATTTCAGGAATAAAAAAAAAGTAAAATATAAAAGAGAAATAAATATTTAAGTAAAAAGACGAAGCAAATCTGAAAAATTGGAATGCATAATTATGCAAATTTCGAATGGATAAATGAATGAATAGACAATAAATTAATTAGTAAATATCGGTGTTTCTTGCGCAAAAGAAGCAAGCTGCTCAGTTCCCTTGGGAAACCGACGAGCCGTTTTTCCTCTCCTCTCCTCCTTGGCCTTGGCGAGATTTCTATCTCTCAAAAGGAACCGTGGCGTCGGTGAGTAGGATTTCCGAAATACTTGGCATTTAAACGGGAACATGCCCCTTCTCTCTCTTCGAAGGGATTTAATTTTTTTCTGGAGTTTTTTTTTTGTGTGTCTGAGCGGTCGATTTGTCATCGTTCGCATTGCTGCACGAATTTCTTGAAATGATTTTCTAACTCCCTTAATGCACAATTCCATGACTTGACACTGTAGTCAAAAAGGGGAAATTAATTTGATTAAATGTAGGTCTCCCGTCTCGGTGTGAGGGCTCTTTCCTCTCGAGTTCCATGGGAATCTTTTCCACGGGAATTTTCAACCGATTAATCGCGCTTTTTCTTGGGGTACTTAGTACCTGTAGTACCTGTTGGTCGTCCAAAAATGGCTTTAGGCTTCTGCAGACGAGACACCGTAATAAGTATCGCCTTCAAAATGTCAGTGTGTCATATCCGATATGTGTAGGTAGTGCCAGGAAAATTTCAGTGAAATTCCTTGCTCTGAATACGAGTTAGAGCTCTTTCATCTGCAGACGAGACACCGTAATAAGTATCGCCTTCAAAATGTCAGTGTGTCATATCCGATATGTGTAGGTAGTGCCAGGAAAATTTCAGTGAAATTCCTCGCTCTGAACCCGAGTTATAGCTCTTTCCGTACGAGTCGTCCAATGAATTGGTTTTTTCGCCGTTTTTCCTCCTCTCGTCCCGTCCTTGTCGGAGCGGAATCTGAATTCCTCCTGCGTTTCGAGGGAGCAGAGAGGAATGGCGCGGCCGCGAGAGTCCTCCGAGTGCCCCGTCATGGATGACATGGGCGAAATGTCTTTCAATGTTAGAGAAGGGAGGAGGAAGGAAAATAGGGGAATGTTTGGAAACGGTGTGCGCGCGAGAATGAAAGACGGTGTGGCGGAGAATGAAAGACGGTGTGCGCGCGAGAATGAAAGACGGTGTGCGCGCGAGAATGAAAGACTTGCATGCTCTTCTGCAAATCTGCACTTGTATGACCCTGAATTTTTGCTTGGCCACGACCATAGGAACCTTTAAGGCCCTCATGGACATTTATTGCCCTATGCCCTTTTCGCGGTATATTTTCTTCAGACCCATGATCGTCTTTTGCGCAGGCTTCGGCTATCGAAACTCACTTCACATTCTGTGCTGTAACATTGTCTTCTGCGGAAGGCTTCGGTAATGAGCCCCAAATGCGATTTCTCCTCTCGCAGCCAATCTACTCAACGCGCCAGAGAAGTATTAAGAATGCGTGTCAATACAAGTCGTGGAAGGAATCGGGTAAAAAATTCCCTCGAAAACTCGCGACGAAATCATTACTCCGTAGCAACAAGTCAGAAACTTGCCGAGCTACGTCGTAGCAGGGCAATATCCACGGGCAGCCCCAAACCATGGGGGAGCCAGACTGGGCTGGGCCGACTGGGCTGGGCCGACTGGGCTGGGCCGACTGGGCTGGGCCGACTGGGCTGGCCCTCCAAGCAAGGGAGAGGAAGAGAGAGGAGCACAAGGCAGAGAGGGAAATACGATAAGGTACGATGGTAAGGTATGATGATAAGGTACTTCGAGGTACGATGAGTAAAGAGCGTCTGAGGAGAAGCTGGCTGTGTCGGGGCTCTCAGAGATTCAACCTTTCTTGAGCCTTGCTTGAACCTGTGGCAAGGGCAGGAGATGAAAAGAAAAGGAGAAAATAAGGTATCATTTCTCATTTTCCAAGGAAAAATTCGCAGTTATCATGTATTAAGGAAAATATAGACGTCTGCAATTTAAACATCAGTTTCACCTTGTTGGATTCAAAAGCTCTTCATTGTTAATAAATAATGAAAGATAACATTTATAGATATACAAGGTAACAGATGATCTATTACTAAATTTATATATATTTTTAATTTCAAGTGAACATTTTTAAACGCTCCGCACGCACATCGAGGATCTGCCGTAACCTAGTCCCCCCCAGAAAAAGTACTTCGAAATCCATTCGCATATTGTTTCCAGTACGTAACAGCGAACACTGGATCTCACAGAACTACGGCCACGACGGCGCACTCCAAAGTGGTGAACTGGTAGGTGGACTCGACCGTGCACCCGGCGCATCGATCCGCCGACGTGCAGCGGCCCACCGGGAGCCTCCCATCCATACAGCTGGGGAAAAATGCCATCATAAGGATCTGAGTTTCCCTCGGGCATTTAACTCTGTAACTACCGTTCTGGGTCTGATGGACTTACCAGTAAAAATATGATAACCCACCGGGAGCCTCCCATCCATACAGCTGGGGAAAAATTCCGTCATAAGGATCTGAGTTTCCCTCGGGCATTTAACTCTGTAACTACCGTTCTGGGTCTGATGGACTTACCAGTAAAAATATGATACTCATAAGGTAATGTGTTTCAAGTTTGCATCGATTCGATCGTTTTGGGGCTGTACAACGATTTAAAGAAAGTTTTGCCGATAATGTATCCAAGGATCCAACTCAGCGCAGTACCTGGGGAAGAATCCGTCGACGGACCAACTTGTGAGTGGCTCCTCCGGGTACATCCTCTTCCCGTCGAGGTGATAGTTGCAGCACTTGACCGAATGCGCCGCGATGCTGCACCCTCCAGACAGGGATGTGCACGCGCCCTGCACGAACTGCTTCTCCTCGTAGCACGAGGCGAGACCGGCGAACGTCGTCTTCACTAGACATCCCCCGGACGTCAGGTTCCCTTCCTCCACCTGGCAGCATCGGACGACGCTGGCCGTGCCGTTGCAGCCGGTCCCAGACGAACCGAAGCCTCCAAACCCGCAGGTTGCGACCACCACCTTCGGATCAAAGGCGGGACATCGTTACGAGAAGGGCGAGAGGGTAAGGTAAAGGGTAGAGGTAAATGTAAGAGGGTAAGGTAAGGGTAAGAGGGTAAGACGCCTGCGGACTATTAGTTTCTTCGAAGGAGTTTATGGTTCTTCTTGAGCGAGTACAAGAGCGATAGGACCTGCATTATTTCCGGAATTCCCATGGAATCGACGATGGCTCACTTTCACCCGCCAAACATTCATGAGTTCCTACAATAATTTTTTTTTCGCAACATCAAATGAGACGCACTTTTGAAATTCGGAGCAGCAATTTCTCGCATTAAGAATTGAAAAATTAAGAATTGTCATCGGCCACCCATAATTTTCCATACAAACGAAGCTCGAACACCCCAGATTTGTGCGGTGCGTATGAGATGCTCTCGAAACTTACACAGCTTTTTAGTGAGTTTAATCTGATAGCATTCAAATGAGAGGTTCTTGCTGACAAACAAGCGATTAGCGGAAGAAGTTGACGGGGTTTGAACTCAGACAAAAAGCCCGAAACTGCAGCAAAGCTTCCTAGGGAGGGCTTGGGGAGCCTCCTTGTTCTTCCTGTATTTGCCCTCCACTACTTCCCAGCCTAATGAATATCTCTTCTTCCGGGTCTTCTGATTGCATTAGCGACGTTTGCGGCCAGATCAGCATGCAAAAATTAGCATAGTTGCGCCCCTGAATGCCATTTTTCATGTCCCCTCTCTTGATGAGCAATATGAGATTGGCCCATTCTTCAGAGACAACGAAAAAAATTGTAAGGAGTTCAGTCACAGGACGTTTGGACGAGGAAAAACCTTCGAATTCAGAAAATCTAAGCAAATAAGCAAAAGCAATAAGCAAAAATAATCTAAGCAAAAATCGAAGGTGGCATAAGGAACCCGGGACAAGATGTTTTACAGAGCTCTGGAGACTCACCCAGTTGTCATGACTTTAGCCCCCGGTTGGACTCTATATCTGTAATCAAGTTTTATAACGGCTGCGGACCAACACCTCATCAGAAATCCAAAGAACTAAAAGCTTAGAGACGTAAACGGGTTACGTACCGGACCGCGCAGACCTCCGCTGGACAGACGCTAACAGTTATAACAAGCCAGAAAGGATGAGGAAGTGAGGAGCCCTCCTCCTCCTCACTTCAGAGGAGGAACAGAAACAAGAGGAGCCCATAGAGGAGCCCTTGGCCCATCTGCATCCACATGATCACCTCGTCCTCGTTGCAGTCGGCCGGGCGTCCATCCACTTCTCGCACCTCCCGGCAGTTCGTGGGCGTGAGACCCAGGCAGGTCGTGGACGTGAGCGCGACCGCGATCCACGCCGCGACGCCTCGCATCTGAAAAAAAGGGTTTGCTTCATAATCAAGAATGCGTTGGATGAAATGACTCTCCCAATATGCTTCGAGGCGTCCAGGATTGCATCTGACGGACAGGTCTCGATGTATTTATTTTCGGGTAATCGGTTAAGTAGAACAACCAAACGAGAACTTCGTGTTGGAGTGAAAATGGAGACTCTCCAACTTCGAGTCTTTAAAATGGAGACTCTCCAACTTCGAGTCTTTAAAATGGAGACTCTCCAACTTCGAGTTGGAGAGTCTCCATTTAAAATTATTTTTGATTATAATTAAATATGTATTTTATTATATTTATATTATCCTCTGTACAAGATTCACAGGACTTATCGAGGCGCCGAAAAAATGCACTTAAAAATTAGAATGGGCTTCAGGGCTGCCTCTTTCTTCCGACACTCCTTACAGGCAAGACTTCAAGGCCAAGGACTCCAAGTCCATAGCAACCCATACTCGAGTAAGGAAATTGGGAAATTCGGAAGAAACTGCACGAAACCTCATACGATTCCCCCACTCAAAAAAAAAAAAAAAAAGTTAGCAATAAAACTCTTCACAAACGAGAAGGGAAACTAGACGCGGATGGATGTTCCGTTCGCGAAGAATTTCCCCCTCCTTTCTTCGACCTTCGCGTTCCGCATGATTTTTCGCCCGTCATCGATGACTGGGCGGCGAGAGACTCTTTTCGCTTTCGGGCTGGACCGCGCGCGGCGCTCGAGTAGCTTTCCATGGCGGGAGATGTTGCACCTATATGTACCTCGTTTTCCAATAGAATATCGTAAGATCCCATAGAATCCCAATAGGATACCTTTGAGATCCTATTGGTTCCTATCGGCATCCTATGGGATTCAATGGGATCTTGCGTGATTTTCCCTACAAAGAAATGTTCATCTCGACTCTGTACACGATTGAACTGCTAGAAAGAGCTATAACTCGGGTTCAGAGCGAGGAATTTCACTGAAATTTTCCTGGCACTACCTACACATATCGGATATGACACACTGACATTTTGAAGGCGATACTTATTACGGTGTCTCGTCTGCAGACGCCTAAAGCCTTTTTTGGGGGGCCAACAGGTACTACAGGTACTAAGTACCCCAAGAAAAAGCGCGATTAATCGGTTGAAAATTCCCTTGGAAAAGATTCCCATGGAACTCGAGAGGAAAGAGCCCTCACACCGAGACGGGAGACCTACATTTAATCAAATTAATTTCCCCTTTTTGACTACAGTGTCAAGTCATGGAATTATGCATTAAGGGAGTTAGAAAATCATTTCAAGAAATTCGTGCAGCAATGCGAACGATGACATATCGACCGCTCAGACAAAAAAAAAAAAACTCCATAAAAAAATTAAATCCCTTCGAAGAGAGAGAAGGAACATGTTCCCGATTAAACGCCAAGCATTTCTGGGGGAAAATCCTACTCACCGACGCCACGGTTCCTTTTGAGAGACAGAAATCTCGCCAAGGCCAAGGAGGAGAGGAGGAAAAACGGCTCGTCAGTTTCCCAAGAGAACTGAGCAGCTTGCTTCTTTTGTGCAAGAAACACCGATATTTACTAATTAATTTATTGTCTATTCATTCATTTATCTATTCGAAATTTGCATAATTATGCATTCCAATTTTTCAGATTTGCTTCGTCTTTTTACTTAAATATTTATTTCACTTTTATATTTTACTATTTTTTTATTCCTGAAATTTCTTGGCTTCATGATAGCTAGAGCAAAACTCATGATCTTGCCTGATTTAGCTGCGAAATAAATTTTGTCTTTCCAAGATGGAGGAGTAAATTCTAACCTCCAAGCTTAACCGACTTAACCGAGAGTTGAGCTCGCGGAATATTTCAGTAAATTTGACGAGAAAACTTTTTTTTTTCGGGCAGAGTTCGTCCAAGAAAAAAACGAAGTATTTTTTTTTTTTTTAAATCTGGAATGGAATTGGAACATTCAGCGAAGAAGATCGAGCTTCGACGATTAGAGAAACTGCTTCACGATTAGCTCAGAGAAGAAAAAAAAAATCGGATTTATTTCCGAAGCTTTGGACGAAAACTCAATCAAAACTTGAAAACAAAAGAAAGTAGACCTTCGAACAGAGAACGACTCAATTTTTGTCCGAGGAAAAAAAAAAATTTGGAGTCTTGCAGGCGCGTTGTGTCTCACATCACCACGGCGACGAGAGCGCACTCCAGGGCGGTGAAGTAGTGCCCGTTCCCGACGGGGCAGCCGGCGCAGCGATCAGACGAGGCGCAGCGACCCACCGGGAGCCTCCCGTCTGGACAGCTGGGGAAAAAAATATATATAATATGTATATAAATAAAATAAAATATATAAATAACGAATTGAGTTTCCCTTCCGGGGTCAGGTGGGATTCAGGGCAAAAATGTGATAGTCACTAGGCAAAATATTGTAAGTTTGCATGATCGTTTTGGCAGTTCAAGGATTTCACGAAAGTTATGCGTAAAATGTATCCAAGGATCAAACTCAGCGCGGCACCTGGGAAAGAATCCGTCGACGGAGCCCAGGGAGGACGCCTCCTCCGGGTACATCCTCCGCCCGTCGAGGTGATAGTCGCAGCACCTGATCGAATGCGCCGCTCCGCTGCAGCAAACTCAGCGCGGCACCTGGGAAAGAATCCGTCGACGGAGCCCAGGGAGGACGCCTCCTCCGGGTACATCCTCCGCCCGTCGAGGTGGTAGTCGCAGCACCTGATCGAATGCGCCGCTCCGCTGCAGCCTCCACCCCGGGATGTGCACGCGCCCTGCACGAACTGCTTCTCCTCGTAGCACGAGGCGAGACCGGCGAACGTCGTCTTCACCTGACATCCCCCGGACGTCAGGTTCCCTTCCTCCACCTGGCAGCACCGGACGATGCTGGCCGATCCGTTGCAGCCGGTGCCTCCCTCGCCGAAGCCTCCCATCCCGCAGCTCGCGAACGCCACCTAAGGACATGCACACATTTCCGCCAAGTGCAAAACCGATTCCAGCCAATGGAATGTTCGTACGACCAAATACTTCTGGCAGCATCCCAGCAAACCCTTCGGACCAACGCTGTATCAATGTTACGTATATTTATTCAACGCGGATTTAACGTTTCTCGTCTAAAATCGTTCGCTATGAATCGATTACATAGGAAATTGATATTACATAGACATCCCAGCAAACCCTTCGGACCAACGCTGTATCAATGTTCCGTATATTTATTCAACGCGGATTTAACGTTTCTCGTCTCAAATCGTTCGCTATGAATCGATTACATAGGAAATTGATATTACATAGGAAAAAGCGGATCGGCACCGATAAGCCCAAAATTCAGATGGAACGATTAAAACAAGCACTGGTCCGAGGATCGAAAAAGGTACAGGACCCTCCTCCCAGGACCCTCCTCCCAGGACCCTCCCCGCGATTACCTCCGTCTCGTTGCAGTCCGCCAAGCGACCCTCTACCTCTTGCACCTCTCGGCAGTTCGCGGGCGTGAGGCCCAGGCAGTGCGTTGAGGCGAGGGAGAGCCAGATCGCGATCCACGCCGCGGTTCGCTCCATCTGGAATTGAAATTCTTATTTATTTTTATTTATTATTATTATTATTATTTTATTAGTATTTTTTTTTTAGTCCAAGCATTCTCCCCCTGTCACCTTCGATTTTGTTTTGTGCGTGTCGCGTGATCCGTGCTCGCGCATTTCGACGGTTTCGAGCTGCGTCCTTTTTCTAGCCGCGATTTATTCCGCGCTTTCCGGCGACCGTGCCGCCGCAATTCCTCTGGGCGCGTTTTCGATCGAGTTCCCACATTAATTTAATATCTTCACGGACGGCCCAAGGTTACACGGCGTGAATTGAGCGTATTTTTTGGGTTTCCTCCCAAAATTTCCTCTCGAGAATTTTCATGCGATGCCTTTCATGTGAAACCTCTGAAACAGTTTTCCTCAAGAGAAAAAAAAAATAGTTACATTTTGCCATTTCCCATGGTTTCCCCTGATTCCCGCTCGACGAGCACATTCGCGAAATTTCGCAGCTTCCGTTTGCTGTGTTTACTGGTGATCTACCGCGAAAGGGTGCCCCGAGGGCACCTGAACATGTTTTCTTTGTTTTTGGCTGGAGTCAATTTCCCCAAAAATCTGCCGACTCCCGAAATTCCAGTTTTTTTTTTTTTTTTTTTTTTTTTTTTTTTTTTTTTTTTTTTTTG